AAAGACAGTCAACCAAGGACCCATGAGTCAGAGCTCGGCACTCATTGAAATTGATGGGTGATTCTGGGCCTCCCTGAAAATTTGCTCTTTGTTGTTGGAAACCTGTGCATTTGAGAAACAGAATCATAGACAGATGGGCCACAGCATACAGTGGAAGTCACCTACCACTCCTGCCACCCTCAAGTCCCGTTTTCATGTGACGCACAGAAGTCAAAGGACTTCCCATGTTCATTTAAGAAGTTGGCAACACAGCCACAACTAGCGTCTCCTGACTTTTGGATCTTTATTTTTTTCTTCATGTTGAGCATGCAAATTATTATGGCATTCAGACTCCAAGAATAGATAACCGTATATACTTGTGTATAAGCCGAGTTTTTCAGCACATTTTCTATGCAGTTTTTGTGGTAACAGTTTCCTCGCCTGATATTTGGTTTGGCTTATACTTGACTATATACGGTACATTGCAGCTACCTGCTTGCTCTAAAACCCTGCTCTGCACCTACGATGGTCTCTAAATGATAGAAAATACCATTTCCCAGACCCCCTTGGCTGCCAGCTTCCTGTTCGTTTTGGCCAACAGGAGAAATAAGATCTTTCTTCTCTTTTCTCTGCTCCCTTTCCCAACGCCAGCACTAACTAAATCTCTTCTGGCCTGTTCTCCCCGACAGTCCCCAAAGTGATGCTGACTTCTACCAAGTGAGCCCCTCTGCTATAACTCAGTGACACTTGCCCCTCTAGCTAGCCTCCATTCACCTCCAGGAGCCAGACATGTTTCTTGCTGTTGCCTGTCTTTTGTTTGCTTCTCAGCTCTTCTATAATTTTTGTAGCCAATTCTCTTTATTAAATTACCTTTTTTGGTTAAGATCTGGGCTAGCTTCTCTTTTCCTTATTAGACGCTGCCTGGTAAAGTAGGGCCATCCTGTGTGTTCTTGTGCATTGTTGGAGCACTAGCTATTCTGTCTGTCAAAGAACACCTTTTGAGGACTGTGAAAGGATGGACCTCTCAAACTGCCGCTCTGAGCTCTCACTCAAACTCATAGTGACCCCCGGTGGGGTTTTGAGACTGTAACTGATGATGGGAGTAGAAATCCAGTCTTTCTACCATGAAGCTGCAGGTGGTTTTGAACTTCCGACCATGCAGATCACAGCCCAATGCTTAACCACTATATCACCATGGCTTTATATCACCCTATGATAGATAATCTTTAACTCTCATCCCCAACCCCCACCCCCAAGCCAAAATAACCAACCAGAAATCATCTTAAAACTGATTTTAAAAAATCCTCACTGCCATTGACTTATTTCCAAATCATTATGATCCTATTATGGTCAGCTCAAAAGGTAACCACTATGTCACCGTGACTCCCCAAAAACAGAACAATAGGTTAGCTTAAGTAGTTAGAATGACCAGCCTTTAGCATTGTGCTTTCTTAAGATCTATATGAACCAAGTGTAATAGTTACATAATCTGGTGCCAATTTTGAACGTGAGAGGATTCAGAGTGAAGGAGTGGTGTCAGGTCTGTCAATCGGGCCACAGCCAATGAGGCCTCTGTGGGCCTGGCCTTTTCCTGAGAATTCTGGGAACTCCTGTATTTTCCTCTTCGGAAGCAGAAGAGACCTCTCTCTCTTGACTCACTCCCTTGGAGACTCTCTACTAACAAGGCTGACTTAGGGGATAAAACCCATCTTCTAAGTGAAAATACAAAGCATTCCTATGTACCTAGTGTAGTAGATATGGAAGTATGACAGTATGAGAGGGCTTCAAAATGTTTCTGGAAAAATTGAGTCAAAAGTTCATGGAATTTTCCACTAGTTTTTTTAAGCCCTCCATATAAAGAATTATGTGGTGGTGCAGTGGATACATGTTGGGCTGCAATCCTCATGGTTGACAATTCAAAACCACCAGCAGCTTCGATGGAAAAATACTGAGCTTTCTACTTCTGTCAACATTTACAGTCTTGGAGCCCCGCAAGGAGTCGCTGTGAGTCAGCGTTGACTCCACGGCAATGAGTTTGGTTCTTAGATACAAAGCGTTCTAGTCTAGGAAACCCACAGAGGCAGTTCTACGAAGGCCTATATGGTCTCCATGAATTGGAATTGACTCATAGCGATGAGTTGGGTTATACACATAGAAAAAAGTAGGAGGTTAATTAATGATAGTAGACGAGATCAGCTTCATCTTGTTGTTAGGTGCCATCAAATAGGTTCCAACACAACAGAATGAAACACTACCCTGTCCTGCTCCATCCTCCCAAATGTTCCTGTGCTTGAGCCTATCATTGCAGCCACTCTATCAATCCATCATGTTGAGGACTTTCCTCGCTTTCACTGTCCCTCGACTTTACCCAGCATGTTGTCCTTCTCCAGATACTGGTTTGTCCTGACAACATGTCCAAAGTACGTGAGGCAAAGTCTTGGCACCTTTGCCTCTAAAGAACATTCTGACCGTATTTCTTCCACGACAGATTGGTTTGTCCTTTTAGCGGTCTATGGTACTTTCAATATCCTTCACCAAAACCACCATTCAAACACATTAATTTTTCTTCAGTCTTTTTTATTCACTGTCCAACTTTCACATACAATTGTGGCCATCGAAAACATCATGGCTTGGACAGACATACGTCAGTCCTCAAAGTTAACACCCTTGCTTTGCAATGCTCTAAAGAGGTCTTATGCAGCAGAGTTACCTAATGTAACACATCATTTGATCTCTTGACTGCTGCTCCCGTGAGCATTGATTGTGGATCCAAGCTGGGCAAAAATCCTTGGCAACTTTGCTTCATTTCTCATGATGTCACCTATCATTCCAGTTGTGAGGATATTGGTCTTCTTTACATTGAGTTGTAACCCATACTGAAAGCTACAATCCTTGATCTTCATCAGCAAGTGCTGTAAGTCTCCACACTTTTATTTGTTTCATGTGCATATTTCAGGTTGTTAATAAACCTTTCTCCAATCCTGATGCCAAATTCTTCCTTATATAAACCACCTTCTCTCATGATTTGCTCAGCATACAGATTGAATAAGTATAGTGAGATGATACAATCCTGGCGTACACCTTGACTGATTTTAAGCAATGCGGTATTTCCTTGTTCTGATTTGACAACTGCCTCTTGATCCACATAGAAGGTCAACATGAGCACAATGAAGCATTCTGGAATTCCCCTTCTTCTCAAGGTTATCCATCTTGTAAAGCCTTTGAAACATCAAAGGCCAGCTTTGGTTAGGAAGGAGTGAATCATAAGGTGAATGGTACTCGTTGGTTGGTGTTGTATAGTTGTCCCTCCACTTGGAGGGGCATTGGTGCCAGGGTCCCAAGGATACAAAATCCACAGATTCTCAACCCCCTTATAAAATTGTACAATATTTGCATATAACCTACCTCATGTTAAAAAATTTCTAGATTGCTTACAATACCTGATATAATAAATTCTATGTAAAAATCATGTTATACTCACTCACAGCCTTTGAGAGATTGTGTTGACCACTTGTTTCCCCCTCAATCCTCCGAGTCACTGTTACCCTCCTTACATTTACCGTCTGAGGTTGGTTGAATCTAAGGATGCAAAATCCTTCAGGATGTTGAGACCTTGTCTCAGGTACTTAGGACATGTTACCAGGGAGAGCCCAATCCCTGGAGAAGGACATCATGCTTGGCAAAGTAGAGGAGCAGTGAAGAAGATCTTTGACAAGGTGGATTGATGCAGTGGTGGCAACAGTGGGCTTAAATATAAGGACAATTGTGAGCATAGCACAGGACCAGGTGGTGTTGCGTTCTATTGTAGCTACGAGTCAGCACCGGCTCAATGGCACCTAACATGGCACATGATTGCCATAGGCTATGAAGTGCATGATTGCAGTTAGTTATGTGAGTATATGATTATAGTCACGAACACATTTTTTTTTCCAGGAACAAATTATATACATCTTGACACATCTTCCTAAATGGATTACGTACTTGCCTTTTGTTTTCTGGAAATGCATGTTGGCTCCATTATTCTCAAGGTCAAAAGTGCCTCCCATTTGAAACTTCTGTTTACACATCACAATGTTGTGAATGAAAAAAGAAAGTCATTTTACCCCAGGGTGGCAGTGTTCTGCTCCATTGATTCATTCTATAAACCAAACTGATTAAAAATACATTATATTTTTCATAACTCCTGAAAAACAAGAAGTGAAAACATTTTTCTAAGATGTTTTCTTGGAAAGCCCATCGTCTGCCTTCTGTGTGGTATCACAAGAATGGGTTCTTTTGATATCGTTGATTCTTTTTATCTCTGTCAAACATGGAAGAGATCTTTCTTTACCTGCGTAACTTTCTGGTTTTGACTTGTAGCAGACATATGCTAATGTCTTATCATTGGTTTCTTATACTTGCCTTGGTAGCAATTCTGTACCCTTGGCCTTTCCTAGCACAAGCCTGGTTGTTGTAACCTACAGTCCTGTTTATATGCCAACCCTTGTTCTTGGCCTCCACACAAGGATTCCCACAAGGGTTTCATTTGAGGTGATGGTTTCCAAGATTGGGGTATCTGCCTGCCAGCACTGGATTTTAGACCACCAGCTTGTTTTTCCAAGCATTAATATCTTAGTGATCTCCAAACATATTTTCTTTTCCAAAATACTTTCCAAAAGGTTTGCAAGAATGTCTCTGAAACTTTTTTTCTTTTGAAGGCATAAGGGTGTAAAGGGAGGGGGCAAAGGTAATATAAATTATAACTCGACAGACTTGTGTTTGAAACATTACCCAAAATATATTTTTCTCTCTGGGAATGAAAAAAGCAACACACCCTCTTTACATATTTAAGTAACTCATTTGGGAGAAGGTTAGCCCAGAGCCCAGCTCTTGGCAGTTTCAGTTCAGAATGCTTTCAAACCAGTGAAGTACAAAGCCTCAAATGTTTTCCCTCTGAAAACTCAACCTTCACTCCCATGGTGGTGAGAAAAGTGATGACTTATTTCAAAGATTCTCCCTGTTTCTTTCTTTCTCTTCTACAGGCCGTGTGTTTATACTATGGGATCCCCCATAAACAACAGGGCCCTTTTTCCATGCCAGGAGCCACCCGTTGCCATGTCAACATGGCAGGCTACAGTCCGAGCAGCTGCATCTCTTGTTGTTTTAATGAGTGGGGAAAATTCTGCCAAGCCAACACAGCTTCGGGAAGGTACCGTACATGTGTTCTTTGCTTATTTATGTGTGGCACACATGTTGGGCCCAAGAACCAGTAAGCAATAATTTTCCAAACTTTAATGAGCTTCTTTTTAAAAAATTAATTGGGATTAATACATATATTAAATCATTCCATAGTTCAATCACATCCAGCCGAGTTGTAGATTTGCTACCACAGTTTCCAAACATTCTTTTTCTGTATGGACCCCTTGACGTCATCACCCCCACCACCTCCCCAAAACCCTTATTTCACTTGTTGACTCTACAGATTCATCAGTCCTGGTTTTCATAAGCCAGAAAATAAAAATGCATACACTACATCTTCAAGAGGGTGACCCCCAATGACAAAACACTCCTGCGACAGAACACCTCCTAATATGTACAATAAAAAACAAAACAATACAACCCCCAAGTCCATAAGATTTGGGATACCAGATCCGGTCCAGTATGCTAATCTGCCGACAAGTTTTGACTGTTCAAGTCAGGCTTCTGCCTTTGATCTTCTGTACCCAACTTTGCAGTGCACTCCATGTAATAACCACTTTCCTCCTTTCCCTCAATTGTGCATAGAGGGAGTTCACTGGAGGTATAGTTCCGCCAATGAATTTTGGACTCCCACTGTTATCCATAGCCTTCTGCCAATCAGATTTTCAGACTTTCGGCTCTGATTAATATCAGAATTGAATAATCAACTTCAGATTATATGCTTCACAATCCCTGGGTGTGCTTCTTCCATGTGGACTTAGTTAACATCTCACTTAGATGACTGCTTGTTTGGAGACAAGCCTTCAAGACTCCAAATGCTATTGTACCTGATAGCTGGGCACCATCTAATTTCTTCACCATAAGTTGCTATAGCACCCATCTCCTCTTTGTTCCCTTCCTGGAGGCAAGTATCAAGCAGGGCCATGATGTAATAACTAATTGTTCTTAAGTTGGAGCTGGGATTTCGTGTGAATCCCCAAAGCATTTCTGGATCTATGTTTGATAGTTGGGTTGGAAATGAACATACTATGAAATATCCAGCCAGAGAGAACAAGCAGCGGCTGTGGAGTGTCCCTGAGGAGACGGTATAGCTCTTGATTCCACCCTCAGTTAGCAGTCTTGGGTTATCTCAATAGTTCCTGTCACCTGGAAGTTTGTAGGCCATGGATGGGTTATCTTGGTTGAAAGCTTTGGGGGTAGGAAAGTGTGTCATGCAAACAGCATTACACCTGAGTTACCTGGGAATCCGGCATGGAGACTGTATACTTTGTTCATTATGTGGAGGCGGAGAAGGTCTGTGGGTGTTGTGCCTTCTTATGGCTAGCCCACTGGAAGTGTCCTGGTGAAGGATATGATAATTACATACTATATTTACCCATAGGGAGCCCTGGTACTGTAATGGTTATGTGTTAGGCTGTGATCCAAATGGTTAGCAGTTCAAAACCATCAGACGCTCCTATGAAGAAAGTCTGGGCTTTCTATTGCTGTAAACAGTTACAGTCTTGGAAACCCAGAGTGTGGGTCGCTTTGAGTCAGCATTGACTCCCGGCAGTGAGTTTGGTTTTGGGTTTTCTATTTACCTATGAAGAAAAATGGCAGGTAAGCAGTAATACATTTTGTTTATTTCAGTAACTAACCCTTTCCGTTACAATCTTGAGCATATTGATACCAAGTAAGAATTTCATCCTTATAATATTTATTTAAAGTATAATGTCTCCATCCACATACTTACTATAGAAACTTAAAAATGTACACAGAAAAACAAAAATAAAATAATTTTAGGGAAAATGATTGACAGCTTTTTCCCCCCATTTTCCCCCCAATACTTAAAATCTGCATGTTTAATAGAGATTACTAGTTCAAAAATGATCATCATAACATAGAGCTGTTTTATATTCTGGGTTTTTTTTCACTCAGTACATTTGGGACATTTTCTAGGTCAGTAAGAGTTTTTCAAAGATATCTAAATTTATATATAATATTTTATTGTATGGATATGTCAGAATTTAATATTTGCTTATTATTAAATATTTTATTATTTCCAAGATTAATTTTCATATGTAAAAACAACAGACATTAAATTTACTAGGAAATATTTTATCTAAAATTTGAATGATTAAATCGGTGGGCTTGAACATGTTGACATATGTCCCAGCTGGTTTCCAGGAAGGTTGTATCAAATTGCACATCCATCGGTGGTAAACAAGCGGTCATCTAGCTCAGAAGCAACAAAGCCCACATGGAAGAAGCACACCAGCCTGTGCGATCACGAGGTGTCGAAGGGATCAGGTATCGGGCATCATCAGAACAAAAAATCGTATCATTGTGAATGAGGTGGGGGAGTGCACAGTGGAGACCCAAAGCCCCTCTGTAGGCAACTGGACATCCCCTTACAGAAGGGTCACGGCGAGGAGACCAGCCAGTCAGGGTGCAGTGTAGCAATGATGAAACATACAACTTTCCTCTAGTTCTTAAATGCTTCCCCCAGCCCCCCCTCGCCCACTATCATGATCCCAATTCTACCTGACACAAATCTGGCTAGACCAGAGGATGTACACTGGTACAGATAGAAACTGGAAACACAGGGAATCCAGTGTGGATGATCACTTTAGGACCAGTGGTGAGGGTGGACAGAGGGTGGGGTGGAAAGGGGAAACCGATTACAAGGATCTACATATAACCTCCTCCCTGGGGGATGAACAACAGAAAAATGGGTGAAGGGAGACATCGGACAGTGCAATATATGGCAAAATAATAATTTATAAATTATCAAGGGTTCATGAGGGAGGGGGAGGAGGGAGGGAGGGGGGAAATGAGGAGCTGATTCCAGGGGCTTAAGTGGCGAGCAAATATTTTGAGAATGATGAGGGCAATGAATGTACAAATGTGCTTTACACAATTGATGTATGTATGGATTGTGATAAGAGTTGTATACGCCCCTAATAAAATGATTTTTTTTAAAAAGTTTTTATGCTGTCCAATTTTGTCAGATTTCTCTGACAGTTTTCATTATGAAATTTACATGGTTTATTCTAATATTTTAATTTATTTTTTATAATTAAATTCTTTGTTAAAAATCATTTTATTGGAGCTTTCTCAGATTTTATAACAATACATAAATCAATTACATCAAGCAACCTTGTATATGGGTTGCCATCATCATATAATTCAATCTCTAATCTGTATGTAGTTTTATTTTTTGGTCAGCGTTGTGAAAAGAGCACGATGCACCATTTTTTTTTTCCCCAATAGGAAATTAGTTGTTCCAAGATCATTTAGCAAATCTTTTCTTACTTGTGAAATTGCATTTATTACCAGGTAAATATGTACCGGAGTCTTCAATGAGTATATACTTGATTCTCAAAGTAAGACATAACAAGACAAATAATACCCTTAAAGGTTTTACTTTTAAAAATAGGTGACATTTACATGGTTTAAAATGAACAAAGGACCCTCCAAAAATGCAATAAAATATTCCTTTTACTTATATTTCCCAGTTCCCCACCATGGAAGCAAGCGAAGTCACAAATTTCCCTTCTTATTTTGTAACATAATCCTCAGTGTGGACACACATATTTGTATTCTGCTTTCCCACTTTAAAATGAATTTATCTTACAGAAAAATTCACATCTAAATATAAAGGACTTCCCCATTATTTTTATGAGTATTCCGTAAGTGGATGTTTCACAATTTATGCTAAGTAAAGCATTTAATGAACATTCAGTTGTCATTTTGCGTCACCCACATTCAACAATTTTGACTAATACAATTTGGGGTTTATGACTCATTTTATCTCTGTATTTTAATTTTTCGTATATCATTCTCCTCTAGGAATTATAATGACTTCTTTTCAACCTCATTCAGTTTCAAATAATATTTGCAATTATCTAGACTTTCTTCATTCTTGAGCCCTTAAATTTGGATAATTCTGTCAGCTGGGAAATGGCTTCAATATTTTTTTCAAGAATAGTGGATATATAGTATATTTTCAAGCAATTATATATTTACCTTGAAATTTTATTTCTTTAAACTAGGTTTAGAATTCTTATTTTTCCGAATTGTTTTATTGGGGGCTCATACAGCTCTTATCACAATCCATACATATAGCCATTGTGTCAGGCACATTTATATATATGTTGCCATCATCATTTTCAAAACATTTTCTTTCTACTTGAGCTCTTGGTATCAGCTCCTTATTTTTTTCCCTCCTTTCCCTACCCTCCCTCCCTCATGAACCCTTGATAATCTTTATAAATTATTATTATTTTTCATGTCTTACACTGACCGATGCCTCCCTTCACCCACTTTTTTGCTGTCCGTCCTCCCGGGAAGGAGGTTATATGTAGTTCATTGTGATCAGTTCACCCTTCCTTCCCCCGGTATACAATTCTTATGTTGCTTTGTTTCCTTTCAAATGACTCTAAATATTTAATTATCACTTCATGTTTAGCATTTTTAGGAAGAAACCTGCTATGAACTTTTTCATCCCTTCGGGTCTTCTGGTTTTTCTGCACCGATACTTATGGAACTCTAAAAAAGGCATTAGCAACTTCTTAGAACGAATTTATATTTGTAGGTTCCTATGTTTTTCATCAGTTTTATTACAGTATCATTTACATATAATGAATGAAATGCATACATTTTAAACGTGTTATTTCATGAAGCTTGAGTATATGTACATCTCTATATATTCACCCTATGAAGATACAGGCGCCCTGGTGGTGCTGTCAGATGAGTGCTGGACTGCTCATTGCAGAGTTGGCAGTTCAAACCCACCAGTTGCTCCAAGGGAGAAAGATGAGACTCTCTGCTCCTCTCAAGATCTACAGCTTCAGGTGCCCTACAGAGGTTAATTATGAGTAGGAATCTGCTGGATAGCAGTGGGTGCGTATGAATATCTAGAACATTTCTAATACTTTAGAAATACCTTTCTGTCTTACAGCTAGTCTAATTTCATCACTCTAAATTAGTTTTAGCTCTTCAAGAAATTCATATGAGTGGAGTTGCTCA